CAATGCACTGGTTTTGTTTCAGAGTTGAGACTGAGGTGTTGGAGAACGTCCAGCTAACAAAGCGGGAGACTTTGACCCAAGCAGAAATGTATAGTCTGAAGGTAAACAGGCTCAGTCACTCAAGCAGTTTTTATACCTGAACTGAGACGGAGCAGTGATGTGATATTTTACGTGGAGACCAAATATCAGTCAATGAAAATCATAATAAACTCCTGCGTCACCATTCTGAGAGAACGTTAGCCCAGCAAACGTGGCATAAATCAACAAAAACCATCCAGCATAGAATGACAGACCTGCCAGTCGGACCCCGTTCAGTTACAGACTGATGACTGGCTGTTTGAAAAAGGTGATAAATCACATTAAATGTGATTCAAATACTACGCTTACTGCAAAATGTTAAAAATCACAATCATATATTGTGAAACTATCGTATTGTGGGCGATTTAGCTTTTCTTCCATTTAGCACACAGCAGGAAATGGTCCTCTTCAGAAACTGTTGTCACTAAAATAAGTAGTGCATCATTTAAAACAGCTGAACATCTTCTGGTGTCGTCGTCCTCTTTTCTCGCAGGGAGCACTAGAGAGGGAGCAGCTGGACAAGCAGCGAGCCGAGGAAGACGCTTCTGATATGAGAGATGCCTTACAGAAGGTACAGACATGACACCGAGAACGTGTCTGTCCTCAGAGGAAGACTCGTAGCTTGCTCATTTGCATAGAATGACGCTCTGGCTGCCATCTTTGTCTCATCAGTCCAGGGAGTGCGTGTCGCGTCTGTCGTTGCAAGAGAGCGCGTTAAGACGGGAGGTGGAGGAGGGACGGGATGCGCTAGACAAGCTGTCCACCCTGAACTCTTCTTTGGCCTCAGACAAGAGAGAGCTGCACAAACAGCTGCTGCAGGTACTCCTCCCTACATGCCCCTCTCTGTGGCTTCCAGCTTTAGTACATCATGTAAGTCAGTTCACGTGTCTGTTACCAGCTGGAGTCTGAGCTGTCAGAGGGCCAATCACAGCTGCAGGCTCAAAGGTCACAAGTCAGTTCCCTGGAGAGGGAAGTCAAGACCCTAAACATGGATTTCAGCAAGCTCAGGTGAGGTCAGTTTGCACCCAAGTCGTCAGGCCAGAACAGTAAAGTTAATTTGATTTCAATCCTGAATAATTAGAGTGAATTGTGCTGTGTCTGTTAGAGTACAGAGAGAGGCTGAGGAAGATGCTGTTCAGCAGCTGAGAGGACGAGAGCCAGAGGAAGACGGGAGCTTTCCCTCTGTGGGTGAACAGCAGGTGGATGACCGGTCCTTTCAGCATGCCGCAATGTGTGAGGAGCTGAAGGAGGTGCAGGACCGGCTGGGGCACGCAATGGAGGAGGTGAAAAATGGGAGCATACAACAGCAGGAGCAGCTCAGAGAGAGTAGGCGGCTACAAGAGGAGCTGGATAGTCTGCAGAAGCACAAGGAGCAGCTCGAAGTTGATCTGCAGGAGATCCGGTGCTGAGCACGCGAAATAAAATCAGGGTTTGTTTGTACGGGTCGCATCATACTGACATCCTGTTTCTCTCTGCCTGCAGGTCCCTGTCGCTGTCTGCCCACCAGCAGCTCAGTGAGCAGCAGAAGCGTCTCTCACAGTCAGAGGTGGAAAAATGTCAGCTGAACACACACATCCACACTCTGAAGCAGGCCAAAGACACCTTACATGGTCAGTGACAGTACGCCTAAAGTCATAATATCAAACCTTTAAGAATAATGAAAACATATAAACGTGGCACTTCAAACCAAATTCCAAAAAAGCGATGAAGATATAAAAACAGAATGCAGATCTCATAAACCAACATTTTATTCACAACATTAAACATGTTTGAACTGAGAAAATGGGCCTGTTTTAAGACCACTATTAGTCGGTAACACATCTCAACAAAGGTGGCATCAAAAGGCTGAAACATAAACAGCACCAGAGATTTTAGCTTAATTGGCAACATGATTGAGTATTAAAAGACATCTTAGAGAGGCTCTCTCCCAGGGTGACCGAGCTCTGACTTGCCTCTCTTCAACCAGCTTCTCAGATGTTCGATGGCTTTATTGCTTCACAGGACTCGTTGTAGTGACTGGCCCCAGAGCCCCTACACCCCACCTCCACAGGTTTGCAGCATGGCTTTAACCCCTGCCTCCAACACTTGGCTACCACGTCTGCTTATTTCCCCTCTTTCTTTCCTGAGCCTCCTCTAAGCAGCTTTCCCACGGGACAAGCAACCTGACAGGTTTAGACTCCTCAGACAGCAGCAGCCTTGAGTGTGCTGATCACAGTCCTGTCTCCCTCCAGTCTCCCACTGTTCCCAGCAGCCTGTCTCGAGACCACAGCTGCTCTCCTCCTCGGACAGAGTTGTGAGGATTGACTCGATAGCTCTGAGGACAACATGTCTCAAACTTTCTAACGTCCACACACACTCTGATTAAATGCAGTGTGAATGAAGTCATCCCAGTGAACACACTCAAGTGAAACATATCAGTTGTGCTGACATTAATAGGAACAACAGTGATTTTCATGTAAAGTACTTTAGTTGTATTTAAAACTTTTTTGTCTTTTTAAAGGGGAGATCCAGTGTCTGAGAGGCGAGCTGGAGGAGATGATGTCCAGGGCAGAAGATGAGAAGAAGAGGAGAGAGATGAGTGAGGAGGAGAGGAAGGCACTGCAAGAGGACATGGAGAGGATGACAGAGGAGATAGAGAAGCTGAGGAGGAGGAGAAGGAGGGAGGAAATGGAGAGGAAGGATGAGACGGAGACCGAACAGGAAGAAAGGAGTTTCTTTAGTGAGAACTCGGGGAGAAGAGGAGCTGAGGTGCTGAGGAATTGCATTGAGGGATTAACTGAGGAGGTGGAGGAGAGGCAAAGAGAAGAGGAGAAAATGAGGAAGGAGGTAATAGAGATGAAGACTCGAATCAACCTCACGATAGAAAGAGTACAGCGATTAGAGGGAGAGAAGGAGGAACTGGAAGAGGAGGTAAAGAGGACAGAGGAAAGGCTGAGAGAGGAGAAGGAGTTTTGGGAGGAGAGGAGAAGAGAGGAGACGAAGCAGAGGGACAGAGAAGTGGAAGCCCTCTGTGAGCGGATGGAGAGATTGAAAAGGGGGGAGGAGGAAAAGGAGAAGAAGGTGGACCGGCTGAGGACAGAAGCTGAGAGGGACAGATGGAGGGTGAGAGTGGAAGAACAAGAGGAGGAGATTAACAGACTGAAAAAAGAAATCTCAACATCACAAGAGGATGAAAGGAGAAAGAAAGACAAACTGCTCGAGGAGAAGGAGGAGGTGGTTGCAAAGCTGCTCGAGAAGCTAAAGGAGAAAGCGGCGGAGGCAGAGCTGATGAGGCAAAGGCTGAATGTGGCCAATGAGAAGTTTAATGAATTTAAGGCAGAGGCGAAATGTAAGGAGCAGAGCCTGGAATTACAGGTGAGGGAGAGAGAAGAAGTAGGGGAGGAACATCGGGAACATCTGAAGGAGGGGGAGGAGGAAGGAGAGAGGGACCATCGAGAGGTGAATGCCAGACTAAAGCAAAAGGAGGTGAGAGGAAGTAGGAAAGGTATGGAAAAAGATGACACGATCTCCTCCCAGGTTAGGGAGCTACAGGAGGGACAGACAAAGAGCGAGGGAGCAAGGAAAAGAGTAAGAGAAATGGAGGAAGCCCGTGACAGGCTGCAGGTGGAGATAAAGGAGTGGCAGGAGAGGGCAGAACACAGCGAGAGTGAGACTACAAAGCTTAACCATATCTGTGTGGAGCAAGAGGAGGAGGTGCAGCGGTTAAGAGCTATACTGGAGGAGAAGGACGAGGAGAGAAGAGAATGGGAGGCACTAAGTAGAACCGAGAAAGAAAACACGAGGAGACTGCAAAGTAAGCTGATGGAGGTCGGGGAGGAGAAGAAGAGATTAGAGGAGAAAGTTAGGGAGGCCGAGGAAGAGAGAGAAGCACTTAGGAGAGCTGGGGAGGAGACAAAGAGGCTGGAGGAACAACTGTCTGAAGTAGAAAGTGACATGAAGGACCAAAGAGAGGTGCTGAGGAAGACGGTGGAGGAGAAGAGGAGACTGGAGAACACGCTAAAGGAAGTTCAGGAGACGACGAAAGGAGAAATGGATGAGCTGATGATACTGAGGGAAGAGAAGAAACGTCTGCAGGATAAATCGATACAGATGGGAAAAGAAGCTGATGGACCAATGAGAGCGAAAGAGCAGCAAGCAAGGCTGTTGGACACCGAGGAGGAGGAGGCGTGGACTCTTAGGAGGGAAGTGCAGAAGGAGATGGAGAGAAGCAATCTAGAGATGTCGGTGCTTAGGGAGGCGGTACAAAAGGAGAAAAGAAGGAAGGAGGAGGCACAAGATGAGCTGTTAAAATGGAGAGAAGAAGCACAATATCTCAGAGAGGTGTGGGGAGAGGAGACGCAGGAAGAGCTGAGGACGACTAAGATGGAGTTACTGGTTATTAAAAAAGAGCTGCAAAAAGAACAAAATGAGAAGGAGCAGATAAAGGAGAAGCTACGGAGGACGGAGGAAGAGGTGACAGCGCTCAAGGAGGACGTGCAGGAGATGGAAAACAACAAGCTGACAGAGACGAAAGATGACTTTCCTCAGGAGGAGTTGAGAGGAGTGAAGCAGAGCGTGGAGGTGATGGTACGAAACTCCCTGCAGGTACTTCAGTCTGTCAGTCACACAAACACTGTAGAAACAGTCATCCTGACAGTGATACTGCTTGAACTGAAGAAACCAGCCTGAGGTCAAACTGCTTGAACCCTCTGCAGCAGGGGTGTCAAACATACGGCCCGCGGGCCAGTATTCTGTCAGCTCCAGCAGTAACACGAACCATATATCAGTAAGAAGAACAACGTGCTGTCGTTAAAGTAAACCTCGTGTACTCACCGTTTGTCGTCTGTACGCTGAACTGAACGCTGGAGTTATTGTGACTAAAGCATTCTGCATGACTGAACACAGGATGTACAATCACATCCAGCCAGCGAGCCTGATCTTCATCACTGCTGAGAATCCATGCAGGCAGGGGTGGGACTTTATTTTGATAGGCTCACCATGTGGCCAATCAGATGCACAGACAAACTGGGATCATACCATTACCGGTCTTATGGAATCTCAAATGGTTTGACTTTCCAAAAGACACCAAGTGTAGGTACGTAGAAAGACGGGAGAGCAAGCGTGTCGGGAAATAGTGAAGGAAGGCGTGAAAACGTGCAATGAGCAAACATCTGGCTGCATTTCAGTGACACTGGTGTCTGGATGAGTCTGTGTGCTTGAAGCCATTTGATAACTCTTAACTTGTTTGATTTCTCACCACAAACAAGCACGAGCAGAAAGTTTGAACTTTAACTGTTTGTTTTTCACTTTCTGCTGTAGAACGACTGCAGTTAAAAACCAAAGGACTGTCTGGGCAGTAGGCTGCCAGGACTTTGTCTGTAATTTTGCACATTTCTCAGCCCGTGAAAGTTTATCCATTAGTCAGACCTCAGATTCAGGAGGAACAATGTGGTTTTCACTGTTGTCTCAGAACACCTGACCAACTCTTTATCCTCTCAGGATATTTGAGGTGCAGGAGAGTTTGCACACGTGTGGGTTTTGGCTTGGAGAACTTGTCTGCGTTTCTTGGGCAGTGTCCTATTGGGAGTATGAAATGTCTGGCCTGTTGTTACGGGCCACTCTGTCCCTGTACAACCATAGCGAGGGCTTGGTTCATATTGCCGGCAGTAAGACGGTTTCATTTTTGGTGGGTGTTTGACTCTGTCAGGCTCCCTTTTGTCATGATTGTGTTCATAATATTTATGCACAGAATATGTAGCTATAGCCAGGTGGTGGAGGGTCTCCCCCTCGGTGGCCTCAGGATTTCGTCTTTGCTTTTGTGGACGATGTGGTTCTGTCGCCTTGGCGACCTCCAGCTTGTGCTGAAGCGGTTCACAGGCTGGGATCCCATGTTTTACAGTTTTGGGTCGTCGATCTGTAGTTTATAGCACTCTCCCGTGTCCCTGTCTTCTGTCACAGCAACAAACACCAGTGACACAGTGCCAGTGAAAACCACATGCCCACCCATCATGATTCCAGCTGTCCACCCAGAGATTATCCAGATATTGTTTTTTGCAACCTGGAATGATCTCAAGACTCTTTACAAGAAGTAACAAAGAAACAGGTTATACCTGTTAATGAGTGAATTCTCTAACTGAAGCCTAAAACGTGTGTAAGTCCTCGTATAGTGTTTGTTCAATGCCTGAACTCTGCTATCAGATCAAACTGTGAATAATAGCACTGCCCCACTACACTGATCATTCAAACTTGTGTTATCAAGGATTTTATTGAAGCTGATCACAGGGTGTTAAATGCTTCTGAGCTGAAAACGTGCTACATAAGTTCACAAAGATCTGGGGTTGAGCTTAAGCATTATTATAAATAACGTCATCTTGTATATGGGTTGCATGTAATCGCTATGACGCTGTTCTGTTAATTTGACATTGTAATGTAACTGTTTTTATTGCTGATGTGCAGGTGGACACTCAGAGTCAGAGCACAGAGGAGATGGAGGAGGATCAGGATGGAATCGGATTAGCTGGATCACAGCAAACAGATGCAGCTTTGGTGGGCTATAAAAGGAGACCCCAGCAGGAGGAGCAGAGCCCAGTGGCCACGTCTGATACAGAGGTCAGTTTGTGGTCAGGCTGTCAGTGCGGCTGTACTCAAAGTGCATCGACAGGAAACGGGTTGTAAAGTGGAGCTGTGTGGGGAAAATGTGTCTGCAGGGTTTGAAGGAGAGACTGACGGTCCTGCAGAGTCTGGTGGCTGAACTGGAACTGGATCAGAAACGACTGAACAAGAAAAACTTTCATCTGGAAAATCAGAAAGACAAACTGAAAAGAGCGACACACACACTGAGAGAGACGCTGCAACAGGTATACACAACAATGAGACAGGTACACGTGCACGCACCCAGAGAGACGCCGTGTACACTTCTACATTAAGCCACAGTGACACAGCAGGATGCAGTTTGTCTTAAGTGACCTGAGTTGATTGCAACCACATCCCAGCAGATGTGCCGCGGAGCTTTAAAGAAACGTTGCCGTGTCTTTGCTCCACGTCACGTAAAATAGTGTTGGATCTACTTTTAACACAAGAAGTGTCGAGTTGCACACAGCAAGGTAAAGTGGCAAGAACTAGGACCCAGGAGCAGCACAGAGAATCTGGTCAAACTATGTTCTGATATAGGATATAATCTGGTCACCATATTTGCTCCTGGTGTAAACAAAGGGCAAAAGAAGTCTGAGCCACAGACCCAGTGTGAGCCTAGGACGACACAGATTTCAGTATGCAGAGACACCATCTTGGCATACTGAGGCACACAACACTAAGAAAGGTATCCAGATACACAGCAGACACACTGACGTGAGTACACATTATTGTGTATTTCAGGTGGAGGAAGAGCGCTCAAGGCTCAGACAGCAGCTGAGTGAGAGCATCCAGGTGAGACACACAGTTCCCTTATTACAGTAATAATTACAGGTTGTGTTAGTGTAAGCGCATTTCTCCAGACTATGAGGTGTGTGTTTGTGACAAATGTCAATAGAGACACGTGTGGTTGCAAACCTATTGTGTGTTTTAGGGGTCTTTAACCACCACAGAAGAGCAGCAACTGAGGAGCAAAGTGAGGGAGCTGCAGGACCAGGTGAGTGCAAAGCACCAAAAAGACTTCCTGGTGTTCTGATGTCAGGTGGGTGCTGATGATGTCTCGCCTCTCCTCCAGGTGAAGCAGCTCCAGTTTGCACTGGCTGTCGGTCAGCAACAAAGGGCAGAGTTCATTCAGCAGTCCTCCCGAAACAGCCAGTCAGTGCTCTCTCTGAGACTTGACCTCAGTGATTCACTAGCAACTATCACACAACATCCAATCCCATCCATCCTAGAGTCTGAGACACAGCGATTGGATCGTAGCATGAGGGAGGAGGAGCTCAGAATGTCCTTCAGCCAGCTGTGAAAATTCAGGACCAAATGTTCTTAATTACTTTACACTCATTAAATTGAGAGGTAGAGCCGTCTGGAACATTCAGGTCTCTTCTCTGTGAGCTCTTTACCTCATGTTTATTTATTTAACCTTTATTTATACAGGCAGTCCCACTGAGACCTGCTGTCTCATTTACAATAGAAAGTATAGGCTCTGCCTCGTACTCATCCAAATAGAGCTCTTCCTGTCAGAGGATTCAAAGCAACTAATTAAAACCAGCCAATCAGAATACAAAGGGAAATAATGCACATACACCTGCTTTTCTTGCTATTAAAGCCAAAACAACCTTTTCTGCATTGTTAGAATTACACAGAATTAACACGATTTAATAACAGTTCTGGTGATTATTGCTGCATCGTAGACATTACTTTGGTCTTCTTCTGTGACCTCATGGTTTCTTTTCTCTGCTTCACACAAAGCAAAGAAATTCTTATTTTTCAAATTATTGTCAGTGTTTCTGCATATTTATTCTTCTGTTTTTGTTCTGTGGTTATACTGGTCATGTTTCACATGCTGCCACTTTAATACTTTTGTCTCATTTTAGTACCATTATTTCTGTATACAGTCATGTAATAACAACAGCACTTTTTACAGCCACGAAGCTTAAAAAGCTGATAAACGTTTACAGTCCAACAATGCCGCTTATTTATATTTGTTTGTTTTAATGCGCAGCTCTTCCTCGAGCATAAACCCAGACTCACCTGAGTCAGAGTGGCTCAGGTGAGTCTGGGCCATCATGTTGTCTTTTCTAGATCCAAAAGAGACAATTTTTTTTAACACTACCTTATTAAGGTGGCCACCCTGATTACCAAGATGTATTTATAAATTGCACAGGTGTAAGGTGTACCCATTTATACTGAGTACTAATATTAATAAAATAATTGTCACTCTGCAAAACTGAAGGATCATGGATGCAATGTTCACAGCAGCTGTGATGCTTGGACACTGATTAACGCAGAACAAGTGTCACAATTGGCCAGTCTGAGGGGAAGTGCCACTAAATGTTTGCAGTGCCTTCCCACAGTCCTCCAGTCCGAGCTTACACAGGCTCATGTTGAAGTCAAAGGTCAACTCGTGGTGTGTATTTGTGTGTAAATATGTGCGGCCAGCTCGAGGAAGCGTCCCGGGCGGGAAGGAAGCTGGTTTAGACAACACCCTGAAATCTGAGAGCTGCACCTGAATCAGCTGACTGGCCCTCCAGTTCATTTCCTGTTTCATCAAATCACTGTCAGTGCGTAGAGCAGCGAATTAACTTGTACAAGTTTACATTTTTACAAACACTGAAATCCCAGATTTATGATAGTTTGCTGTTTTTATAGTTATTCATTTGTCAACATAAGAGCGGAGACAGTGATTACATCACACATTCATCATCATCTCGTCTCATTTTCTGTTACACATTAATCATGAGTCATTTGTCTTATAAACTGACTGATGGAAAATTGTCACAGTTGGATCTTAGATGTAAACATGAGGCTAAAATGACTTTAACACTGAACGTGTGTGAAGTAAGGTTTAAAATGCAGCTGCAGACACTTTGTTCTGAACATTAGTTTGAGGTTCAGGTGTGATGCACAGCCCGGACAGCTTTAGTTTGAACTTAACAGCTACTTTTAAAAGTTATTCACTTGTATTTTATAATAAAATTATTCTAAAGTTGTCAAACATTTTATGCTGTCTGATTGTTGAATTCACAGAATGATACTGAAATAAATCATAAATGCTATTTGGATTTTTCTTTGTTACCTTTTTACAAAAATATATTTTAAGCAGCAGAAAAAACAAAAGCTTGTAAATGTTTCCAAAGTGGACTCTGTGGCAGATACCAGTGTGACAAAATCAGAATAAATGAACATGTTAATAGTGTTTGTTTGTTTTTCGTGGAAACCGGGTCCAAATGGCTCTTTGGGGCTCTAAGGTTGCTGATCCCCTGGCTTAGGAAGACAGAGCCGGAGCCCAGTACGGGACACCTGCCTCTACATGCTTCACCTGTCGCTGGGACTGTAAACAGTGTGGATGTAGATTCAGCACCTGACCGGACCTGCAGTGCAGTACTGAAACAGTTTAACGTGGAGCCGGAGTCGGTTTGCACAGAGCAAAGAGGGTGGACCGAGATGCTGAGGTCAAGCTGGGCGAAACAGCAGCGCTGTCCCTGTGATCACCATTAAAACCTTTACTGGGAAAAAGCGCTCAGGAGTCCTTCATCAAAGCACCTGATCAACAAACGACGTGAAGTTGTATTAAAATACTCTGGTGAACTGTTAACTTTGGTACCATGTTTCAATTATAAGGGTTTCTAAAAGCTGAAGCCAAACAGGGCTGAGTCTAAAGGGGGGCACGAGGTGTACTAGACCGTATTTACTTCAAGGTTTTCAAACCTTTTTCAAGTGAAATGATTTAAATTGCCGTCTCAATTAAATAGAATTAATGTTTAAAGTATAAAAATAAAGCTTTTTTCACAAGCCAATAAAAGCATACAGGACTGGTAAAACACTGAGCCTCTGACCTGAGTGGTTTATTATTAATATTAATTAAAGTCTACACCATCATAACATCTTGTTTTCAGCAGCACAGAAACGTTGCACAGGGCAAACTCCAGGATGCTGTTATGCTCCCTTCTCTTCACTGCAGCCTCCACATTCTCCTTTAAAGGCTTACAGACACAAACTCACTTAAACACACAGAAACACATGTAGAAAAACTCAAAGCCTTCCAATGAGACGGGAAACATTCATTTTTAAACCTTAGATTTCATATTTTTCTTATTTTATTTGACTTTGACTGTACTTGAGAGTATTTGTATATATCTGGATCTAAGAAAATGTTTTCTTAAAAAATAAAATGTAATATGGCACGCACATACGAAGGGTTTGTTTTTGTTCTTGACAGATGTTGTATGCAGTTAAACTTTAAAATGTGATTTATGAAATGGAAACCAATGAGCAGTTCATTCTGAAAGGCCTGTTTCATTGACGGTGAACAATCATGCCAATTTTCTTGTTCTACAATAATCCATCTCAGAGATATGACGAGAAAAAAAAGTTTAAAATCTGAGAGGACGACAGAAAAGAGTCATAAAAAGCTTAATACTTTAACAAGTATAGAACTTATAAATACCAAAAGATATAGAGGGAAGGAGCAGAATATTTTAAAATTTGAACAGCAAAAATAGCCCAGAGTTTGTGGAAGTATACGGAAGCAATAAGGACAGATGATTAGAAAGAATGAACATGATATATTTACTTTTTTGTCTGATGATTGGCAGAAAGTTTACAGCGGTTTTCTTCTGAGAGATGCTGCTGAGGCTGGAATTAAGCCAAGAGGAAAAAAGACGTATACATAAAACTCTTGCTGATTGAAACACAGGCAAGGACATACTCAAAAGTTTAGCTCCTCTGGATGTTTCCATGGAAAAGAGTTTTATCACTCATCCAGGTGACTTCTCCAGTGTCACGCTTGAGTGATGAATCTTTCTCCCACTGACAACCAGTGTGTCCAGTTAAATTCAATCGATTTTTTAAAGGAAAGTTGGTCGATGCTGTGTTCATGAGGACACTGGGTTTAACTTGCAGCACAACACAAAGCCGCCATATTTTGTTCAAGTTTAAAACACTTAATTGAGCAGAATCAAGATGCAGAAAAGCTGAAATGTAACGTCCTCGTATGATGACACATCACACATGACGCAGCACGGGGTCATGTGTGATGTGTAACTGCCCTCTGCTAAGACTGGAGATAATATAAGGAGTGAGGCAGCTGACAGCTGTTATTTTAATCAGCCTGTTTTAGTTCTGTTAAACTAAGTA